TTCAGGAGATTAATTTTGATATATTTCAGGGAATAAAACATACATTGTGTTGTTTGAAAAAGGAATAGGATCATTGGATAGATGTTATTTCTAACAAAGTTTGAATAAAGCTGGGATCTACATGTAAGTGTCTAGAGTTGAAGGAAAGAGCAGTGTCCTTGAAAGCAGATCATCCTCTCATTTCAAATTCAGGGAAAAAAGTCTTTTCTGCTGGGCATTTTAGAAACTGTTCTTGATATACTTTAAGACACTTCAAGAAAGTAGAATCATATTTCTAAAATTAAATTCTATCAGAAGGTTTTGCACAGCATAATCAAGATTTGAGAGCTTACTTAGCATTTGTTCAGCAAGTGCCTGTCAAACATTCACATCATTATTTATCAACTATACTACAACGAATTTGCAATGATTGCATCCCCAAATAGACATTCTATCTCGATGTCATGATCCCTCGTCTAATGACAAGTTTCACCTTTAAACTACAAATAGAGTTTGTATCAGTAATCCACCCCTCCCCCGTACCCCTTCAGAAAACAGTTTGTACCCCATGCAGCTTGGCTAATCCCTATACCCTGGAGTCCATGTCATAGGTTCCTTAAAGCATTCACCTGGCACATGAAATTCAATATCTTTAGAACATGAGAGAAAGGTTGTGAAACCCTGGTATATTTTTTTCAGGGAAAAAAGATTAGTGGGATTTGACAGACTTACCCACAGAACTATTGACTGAGGTAAAAATGAATTGTATTCATGAAATCAAATATCTATTTGTAGATCAATTCCCCATTGTAATAACATTTTGTGAAACATCGTTAGCATTAACATTGCACTTTTTAAAATGATAAACGAATGGGATATGGGGAAAAGTGATATCATTTTCAGGCAGTTTGATTTTGGGAATCATATTAAACTGAATAGCTAAACTAAAGTTTCCCCCATACTGATGCCAGTATTTCTAATTCTGAATTTGATATCATCCATGCCACAAGACAATAGGGTGAGGTCATCATAACAATCATGATTCAATCAGCCTGCAAATTAATGCACTCATCATGCATACCAGAGTACCTATGAGGATATCATTATCTTCCAAACAAAGTTATAGGAGTATGTTTTCTCGCTTACTTCCATTGCTGGCTGCTCATGGAATAAATGACACCCCACCACACACACACACACACACACACCTCTTTCTTCTTTGTTGATTTCAATATATAAATAAACTGTATCAAGAATTTATCATACAAACATCGAAGTGCCTCTCCTTCAAATATTTCAAATATTATGATGTGTTTTATGAAGAACTTGTGCATCCATTCTCTCCATGTCCACAAAGACAAATCTTCTAAAGCCTATCATGTGTATTCTCTTGATCAAAGTGGGTCCCTGGAAATAAATTGTACCAGTACTTTTCTTGTACAACATCACATGGACCAGGTCCCTAGTCATCTACACCCCTCCCTCTCTGTCTGTCTCTCTCTTTCTCTGCCTGTCTATTTATTTCTGTCTCTCCTCCAGCTCTCTCACTCTTTTACTGACCTACTGTATACCCCCTTTCTAACTCTCCTTCTATATGTCCCACTCTCCATGTCCCACCATCTCCATCTCCCTTTTATAATGATAATTAAAAAAACGATACTTATAAAGCACTTCCTGTAAACTTCTCTCTTTACTGTTTACCCTTCACTCTTTTCCCCACCCCCACTCCAAAAAAACCTCTCTTTCTCTCTCTTTCGATCCTTCTCTCCTCTCTTATTTTTTATTTCTTCTCTCTGCTCTTTAGTCTTTGCCCTTCTCCAAGTTCTCTCTCTGTTCTGCTCTTCACCTCTCTGTGCCCTTCCTCTCTCTCCTCCGCTCTATCCACTGCCCCCCCCCCCCCCCTCTATCCATCCAGGTCCCAGTCAGTACATGAACATGTTTCTTAATCTCTTTACTCACCTTCAATCACTCACCACCATGACCTTCATGACACAACATACAAGAATCCCCAGCTCTACCGCTCCACCTTGACCTCTACGCTCAAGGTCAAGATCTCAGGTGGCAAGGCAAAACAGATCTCCACCAACGTGAAGATTGTTTGCATCTCAACTATTTCACAAGGTAAGGAGCTCTAGTCTAGAACTTCAAGCACCTCTGTCAACATACAGTATATGTATCTCACATTTTGCCAATGCAACTCATGTACAGTACATGTACACCATGTGCATGTTTGTTTTCAACATCCCTTATCATTTCATGACATTTTGAATGACACATTTTCATAGAAGTGCAGCTTAAAAACATCGTCATTCAAGCATATACTACATATTCAACACTTGGGTTCCAAGTTCTGCCTCTGATTTTTATTTCATGACATAAAAGATATTAAAATCTTAAGTGCAAAGGATATTGATGTTCCCATCTGACAAATACTATTTTGCCAGGCGTCAGCAACCCCTTAAAGAATAAAATTACATGAATGGTAAATAAATGATTAAACTTTTGTTTACCTAAGTGCATTGTATAACTCCCAGTGTCTTCTACAGCAGACTAGTTAAACTAAAAGAAGATTGTCTTCTCGTATTATGCGAACTCATAGATTACATATTGGGTCGTGTATGGATTACTTAACGTCTGGCAGTCTCACATGTGTTTCTATTTGTTTCCCTAAAGTTGGTGTTATGAAACTCATGCACCGCAGGGTGGGTACAAGGTTTGCCTGGCATTGTGTTTCAATTTGCACCTTATCCACACAAAAAAAACTTTTAATAATCAACATATAAATGTTAAAACACTAACATGTATAACTCTCACCGCATCTCTACTTTCATCTAGTATTAAGTTTTAGACTATTTAAAACTATTTTCCTGCATATAAATGTATAGTCTTACAATTTTGTTATTTTATTTATTTTTCATTTTTTTGGGGGGAGGGAATTATCAAAATATCACAATCTATATCATCTTAGAATTAACTTTTGGTCATAGGATTCCCGATAATCATCTTTGCTCCATTTTGTTACTTAGAGAGGGGAGTGCACCACATCTTCATGGACCAGGTGCTGTTCTAGACAGGACTTCTAATATCCTTTGCAGACACTACCAAACCGATTTCAAAATTCATGAATATACATGTATATAATATCCTCCCTTTTTTTCCCCTCAATTTATGAACATGCTTAATTCTGCCAATTTTTATATTTCCAGGCAACTAGAGTATCCTTTACAGCTATAAATTGAAAGCAATCCCTTGAGAAAGATTAACTCTAAAACCTCTTTTCACTGTACATCATTTTGCAAGTATCAGGCCAATGTACCGCCATCTGTCACAAATCAACATTCAACCAACATGTTCAAGCTGTTGCTTTCACATACACAACGGAGACAAACAATACAATATACAAAATAACATCTCTGAATGTAACAGATTTTGAATTCATACAGTGTTGTAGCTGGCTGATCAACAATGACAATATAGAGTGATTACTGATCAATTCAAACTGTTATGGGGGGGGGGGTTGTAAAATTGTGACTGGACAGCACATCACTGTGTATATATATATATATATATATTGCACTTGGATTGATGCCTACACACGTATTGGACATGGCACACACCACACTGCCGTGCATAATCTTCGTTGCATGAAGTAGCATTTAACGAGGAAGAAGAAGAAGAAAATATGGCCCTAGAAATCATAATAATTCATCTGAAAATAGAAATAATGAACCAAATCAACACATACATGTAAGTCTGTATTCTATTAATTCAGTTCAGCCTGTCCCTGGGTTAAAGATAATGTTAATACAGGAAGACTTTTTAATACACCTCAGATTAACTTCCTTTGCTGATCTTTTTTTTAACAAAGGCATTAGCCTCACATCGGGTTTTAATTACAGTGGAATCCGGGTCTTTATGTATATTGTGATAATAAACTTGATCTGTTTTGATGCAATCAAACACTGTGAGACCCAAGAAAGGGGCAATTTAATAACATAACAGGGAAATTGACAAATTAATAAATGTTTCTTTCTGTTATCTTTACAATTTTCCATCAATTATGTTTAAAATCAATAAGCAATATACATGTATGTAATCCTTATGTCCCATACACCAAACAAGGAAACAACAAAGTTGGGTGTAAATATGCCCAGTTTATCCACTAAAACTATAACAAAAATATTTTAAAATTGGGGATAGTACGTGAAAGGACTCTCAACTTGACCTACATACATGCATTCCTCACTGACAATGAGAAATGTCCTGGATCAGTTGGATTGTTGATTACCATGCAACATTCCCTCTCACAAAGCAGCGACTTGTCTCCTTCATTCTCCACCAACATCAATAATATACCAAACTGAACACAATGCATTTTTTCTTTTCACCTGTGCCTGAGATTCTAATGTCACTCCAAAGATACTTGTAGTACACTGATTCAAATGTCTCTAACCTAATTGGTGTCAACATGAGGTCATATGAACAATGTTTCCAAATCAAATAATAGTCTTAAACTAGGTTAACATATGTGGTTTGTGGTTTGTTGTTTGTTGCCTAACCTTTCAATTTCAGAATCATTTGTGAAGGCATGTTCACAAGAAGGAACCAACAGGCAAGTATTAAATGCTTTTATGACTTCTCTTCATTTTTTTTAACTTCACAAACATGAAGCTTATCTTCTTATAAGGTTCATGTTGATATTGCCAATAAAACTTTGGCTCAAGTCAATTGAAAAATTCCTAGACGTGTCCTATCAAAAGCAGACTTCACACTCATCTTTGAATCATGTCTATGTTGACATTAACAACCATATTTATTTATTTATTTATTTTATTTATTATTATTATTATTATTCATTTTTTTTTTTTTTTTTTTTTTTTGGGGGGGGGGGGGGGGGATGGGGAGGGGGAGAATTGAAGATATTTTCCAGGATGGGTTGAGCCCCCTAAGACCCTCCTTCTAGAACCGCTTCTGTTCCATACACTGGATACTTTCTTACTAGATTGATCAAACTGACTTACCTGATGGCATAGTTGACACATACAATGCACTGTGGTTTGTTGGTCTTGTTATTATAGATAATAGTTGCCTGTGTTTCTAGCCACATGTAACCACCGTTCTTGGCCAAGAACCTGTATCTGCCGGTTGATGTCTGACCCTTGGCATACACTGCGGAACAATGATAGATACAATCAAAGACTGAGTTATTGCACAAGTATATTATGATAAAAATGCTTTGACTAGATGTACTTTGACAAGCTCCCTTACTGCAAATCAAACTTATCAACACAAGAATCAAACTCAGTCAAATTTATTCACCAACTTGCGTTGGAAAAAGTATTTTCAATATCTATTGCAGAAAGCCTTTATTACATCATCAGCATCGGCCAATCAGTCTTTATGCTCTGGAAAATGTAATCTAATGATAATAATAATAATAATAATAATAAAAACGTTACTTATAAAGCGCTTACCACCGAAGTCTCTAAGCGCTATACACACAAAATAGACTGATATACAATTACATCTTATACAAAACTAAAAATGCAAATAAACCTACAAATAACAATACATATGGAATACACATCAAAGTGAACAGAGATAATTAATCATCGAACGCAATTTTGAATAAATGTGTCTTGAGACTAGTTTTGAATAGGTTAACGGTTTGACAGTTTTTTACATTTAAAGGTAATTTGTTCCAAAGTTCAGCAGAAGCTTTGCGAAAGGAGCGATTACCATAAGAGAGAGTTGACACAGAAGTAGATACAAGGTTTAATTGTGAAGATGACCGTAAATTGCGTGAGGGTTTGTATTCCTCGATTAATTCTTGCAGATAAATTGGTGCCAATTCATGAATGCATTTATAAGTTAAAACTAAGATTTTGTACATAATGCGGTACGTCACCGGCAACCAATGCAATTCGCGAAGTACTGGGGTGATGTGTTCACAAGTACGTGTGCGTGTAACAAGCCTGGCAGCAGAGTTTTGGATTCTCTGGAGTTTTGCAATGTGCGACTCCGGAAGGCCATAAAGAAGGCTGTTGCATTGATCAAGACGGCATGTTATAAATGCATGTATAAGCGTTTCGGTAGATTTTTTATCAAGAAAATTTCTAATACCACCTATCTTGTACAAGGCATATGAAGCTGAGCGACAAATATTTTTTATATAATCATCCATCCTAAGATCATTTTCAAAGATGACACCAAGGTTACGTGCACTTTTGACAGGTTGTATCGGAACATTAGCAATTTCGACAGATGGTAAATGGGAGGACTTTCTGAATCGAGATGTTACATGTATAACCTCGGTTTTATCCTCATTTAACTTCAAATCGTTAGCAGTGGACCAAGCTTTGATATCATTTATACATCTTTCAAGTTTAGTAATAACAGAATTGTCGGAATCACGTTTCAAAACAACATAAACTTGGGTGTCATCTGCATATATCATTCGGCCTAAACCATGCTCTACCACTAGGACGGAATTATATTCAAATCCATCAAAAACTAGCAAACTGAGTGTAAAATATACTTTTACTACAGAGATTGTGTTTTAAAAAATGTAAAAAATCACAAATTTGTTTACTAGGTGTAAAACTCTTAAATGTAATTTCCTTCTAACATTTTTTATATACCTTTTACAAGCCAGAGATTTTTATATTCATTTTAAATCATTTTCATTAAGCTGTGCATAACAAACTATCATATATTTTGTCTCAATACAGCAGTATCTAAAACAGAATTTGTGTCAAGATGGCATGAAGTGAAGTAAAGTAAAGACAAATACAACTGTTAGGGAAGTAATTTGAAGTTATACTCCACTGCTTTGAAGGAAACATAATGAATTTTGTTTCTTCTCTGATTCAAAGCAAATAACAGGGAGATACCATTGTGGTCTACATTCATTCTAATATCTCATAAGTTTAAGAATGCATTCCTTTCTTAGAAAAGGTGAGATCATTACTTCCCTTTACTTTGACTTCATGCCAACCCAACCATTCCAAGTAATCACAATGACTCTAAAGAACAACTTACAGTCTTTGTAGCTTTTGTCAATGAGTTGGCCATCCAAAGCATGGTAGTACACATAGAAAGATTGGCCAACCAGTTCATTGGGGATGTATCCCATCAGTTGCTCAATCCTGGAAACGGAAACAAAACAAGGATATAAAATTTGATTCATATTAATAAAACAAACAAACTGTTTTGTACTGTGGCAACCACCCCCCCCCCCCCCCCACCCCTCTTTTACCAAAAGGAGGAAAATTGTGCCGTTGTTTAGATTTCATTTTTGAAACCAAAGCTTTTACAGTCAGTTTCTGCTTTCCTTCAGGAACGAACCTTATCCTGATTGAGCATGGGCCAACTAAAAATGCTGGTACATTCACCTTGTTTTCTCTGTAAATAATATTGGATATTTGCAAATGATGTCACTTCCGACTACAATAAATTTTCTTAAACCTTTCACCCATATATACTGTTTCTAAAGATTGTGTTTTTAAGTGAATTATTATTGCTGGTATAAAAAGCATTCAATCTGATATATAATTTTGTACAGTCTTAATAACTCTACCCTCCCTCTTTATGCTAAAGTACAGAGAAGAAATGTTTATTGTCCTAGAAAGTCTTTAGCACACATGTATGAAATAGATTAATCATGGCTCTAAACAGACTTTTTTTGTTAGCAATATATATCTGTATGCATGAGCCCCATGTTAACATTTGGTGATTTCGGATTCTATACTTAAACTTTTGGTGATCAACTGTCGTGGGCGCCTGTTGTACTAGCAAGCCCAGGGGAGTGTTTCACAAAACTTGTCATCAGTGACAAATGACAGTTTTTGTTATAAGCTACTGAAATCCTTGCTTCTGATTGGTTATCGGCAGATTTGTCACTGATTTTTGTCATTAGTTATTGGAGAAAGGCTTTGTGAAACGGGTCCCTGGATTACTGACCTCTCATCGCAGTAGGTAAACTTCATGTCCATGCTGTGCCGGGTGAGAAACGCACTGCAATCCAGTGGCACCTCGATGTTGGAGGGGTGTGGTATAGGACTAGCAATGAGGACAAGGCAGGGTGTGGGGGGCATCCTGTAGCCCAGTACCGAGGTGTCTGATAGTGCGAGTTTCATGTGGCCTTGACAATGGACAGCCTGTAGCAGAGAACAAGGAAATGAATAATGGGCCCATAATGGGCTGGACACACTTGATACTGAAGGGTTACAGTTTAAGGAATCTGTTAATCTTCATGAATAGATCACAGTGTCCTGCTGATGAAAATTTGGAAAAGAAATGTATTCCCAATGCATATACAACTCATCAAGTGTGTTCAGCCATAAATGTTGCATTTAAATAAATAAGGTTATTAAAGTAACTTTATTGAAGACAAATGACTTTCATCATAAGTGACAATTGTACTCACATAAATTTATATCAACAGGAAAATATGATTATTTTACTTAAAGATTAAAAGAGTAATAAAGTTCCCCATTGATTCATTCAATTTTTTAATATTTTTTGAGTGGAAAAAATGTCTTTGTTCAAAAAGAGACTTGCATGTCTGAAAGATTAATTCCGATTATTTACAGATATATCACAGATCTCCATCAAAATAATCTTGGAAATATTTTAAATCACTGCTATAGTAAATAATCTCCTATCAAATCCCATATAAATGATCTCTTCAACAATTATATAAGGATTGGCTTCCTTTACGGATGGTTCTGATCAATAACAATCATTCAAATGTCAACTGCTTTATCCATATATTCAGTTTGCCATTCCACCCTGATCGAGTGGCCTTACCTTATAAGAGGCTGCTTTGAGGTTGACAATCTTTCCCTTGGGTGTGAGTGTACACTTGACCCTCATGAGGAAACCATGGTGTTTACGCTTGGATGTTGCTGAGGGGAGGGTGGTCAGCGTCAGGCCTGGTCGGTCGGACAACTGTTCTCGGATCTCATCGTGGTCGCATGGGTGAGCGTAGTCGTAGATGCTCTGGCCCATTAGGTCCACCTGTTGTGCAAGGATAGCAGTGATGTTATAGAATGACCGTGTCAATATTGATCTTGATGATTATCATGATGAATACAAGCAGATCTTTACTCGGAAGTACTGGAAAAGCTTGATGCATACATTTACATGTTTATGCCTCTATATGTATACTCCTTACAAATATTTGTATGAGTAAATAAAGATGGGATATAATGTACTTCAAATTAACTATCAGTTTTCAATTCAAATCATTAAACAAATTAACACTGAAATGAACTTTTCAATTTCAAAAGGCAATAGGAATGAAAATCATGTAAATGTGTTGTTTAAGAAAGAAATCAGGACAATTAACTAATATTTGTACTTTTCTGCATATGAATTGTATTCTCAGATCTAAACATTTTTGGGAGAATGTAATTGTAAAGAGAGCTGAAGGTAATCCCCCTAATTCAGTGTCAAACAGTCACTTTTAGAAACCTATTACCGGGGTACCTAATACTGCATGCACAGGTACATTGTAAATTGGTACTGATGATTCAGCATTTTCAATTTTTCTAATTTAATTCTAATCATGTATGTCTACAAATAGACAGTCAAAAGTACCGGTATGTACTTGAACCAGCCCCCTCAGCATAGGTCTACAACCATAGACTGAACAAAGTACAGTTATTCATTCCCATAACCTGTATGGCTCTTAATCTAGAAATAATGCAACCTTTGATACAGAGGGTTCTTTTTCCGAAACAAAGGGGAATAAAATGGTGAAGTTTATATCTTTCAGAAGGTACATCATGTACATGTACTGTACTGATGAAATTCAATAACATGTTGTCATCTCTGAAACATGTGTACACTATGTATTGAAATAGCACTGCTCATGTAATACATAAAGGTACATACTGTACTTCATAGGGAGAAAATCGTCAGTAAAATATTTGTATTGTCCCATGTGAGCCATATTAAATTCCATGAACAATTCTACTGAATAAAACATATTTACTTCTTAGCCATTTCACATAATTACGAATGTTACATAATTTCTAGTAAAGAATACCTTACCTGATTGATACCGATGTGTTTTGAGACATTTTCTGAGATGTAGATCATATCGCCTTCTTGGGATAAGACTAATAAAAATCCATCTAGAGCCTTCTGGTAGTGAGAGTCGATGATCTCTTCTATCGCCATGGTTTTGCTCTCTTCTTTCTCCTCTTTCTCCTCCACCTTGATTTCTGCAGGAAAATACAACAATACATGATAAACATCATTTTTCTTCAAAAAAACAATCTGAATGATCTAAAGGCCTAACCGATTAATATGAATTATATTTCTAGTACCTAGATTTTATCCCCCTAAGTTTGAAAGTTCAAAACTTTGTTGACATAGATAGTTGATTGAAATTCATTACATTGACGTAATACAGGGCTCTGCCGCTCCACAGTTACTTTTTTGACGGTCCGGATTTAAAAGTTTGGAGTCTTTAAACATGAGTAATTGAGCCCTATGTAAAAAAAAAAAAAATCAAAAAATGGGAAGTCCAAACCTAAATTTGGGTGCCCATCTGCCCCAGTCACCCGTTAGTTTTGAGCCCTGCATACCATTTTTGGATCTATTGTCCAATAGGAAAAGGAAAAGAACACATCACGGGACACTAAATGTAGAACCATATTAATTATATAAGGTTCATACATGAATGAACTGAGTTGAAAACAATTTTAATACCTTCATCATACATGTACGCTAATTACATCCCAATAATTTATGACCTCCTGTTTGAATTTGAACACTGACATTGTAGCTTGTACATACATGTCAGAAGATATACTTTGCTAGAATAAAATATATACATGTAGTCATACCGGTACACATACTTACATGTAGCCTACACTACATTACACAATACACATAGGTACAGTATAGAATAGAAAATAATGTTATACATTGTACAAGTTAGAGGTACGCAGAAGAGATAGGATCAATACTCTACTCTTTCTACATGTATTGTAGGTCAGACAGCTGATTTGTAGGAAGTCTATTAGGTATTTAAAAACAGGTATACATTAATGTCATCTATCATGAATAGAAAAAAATGTTATGTACACTGTGCATGTATTAGAGGTTTGCAGAAAAGATAGGAACGAGACTCTACTCTTTCTACATTCAAGGTCAGACAGCTAATGTGTCCACCATCCTGCCCTATGAAGTCTATTAGGTATTTAATAACAGGTACATTAATGTCACCTACAGTACTATGATCAAAAGATATAAACCTTGCATTGTAAGCAACTACAGTACATGTATGTGAAACATAGTTGGTGGAATTGCTTTATTTGTACATGTATGTGTTAATATTTACAAAGCAGGAACAAAACTACATTGCTGGTGATTAAAACATTTCTTGGAACTAAAATTTCCCCATTGTCAAGTTAAGTTAAGGCCTGTAGATTTTGTTATCATCAACACTCACAATTTAAAGCTTATGTTAAAATTCAGGTAATGAAAAGGTAGAGTGATATCCCATTTATCACACTCATATGTTGAATAGGTTAAATTTGTGAGTATTATCTGCCTACACATGTTTACCAGTTTCAGAGGTAAAGTGTGAAGTATATCTTCTTGGTATTACTGTACATTTACTGGTCATTCCTTACCTTTGGGAAGCACTTTTGAAACCTTGAGATAGCTGAGTATAAGTCTCATTATGCCTGCTTTATCTAGCTGGGCACAGGCATTGTGTGCTAGAGGTAAAGTGTGGGCCAACTCATAAAATATCTCTGTCTCTTTCCCTCTTCGTGATCGCGCTGCATTTCTTGACTTCTCTTTCCTCTTCTCGGAGTTTCTGAAAGAAGATCATTGAAATCAGTCATTCTATGAATGTCTAGAAGAAAAAAGTCACAAAAAAACATTTACAATGTACAGACAAATAAATACCGGTACATTTTATTTATTTTCTTTTCTTTGGGGGGGGGGGGGGGGGGGGTCTCTTTCTAATTATCTGTTGAGCTGCATTTCTTTATTTTTCTTTTGTCTGAAATAAAAATAAATCTACAGCCTACATTATTATCACAAATAATTTTGAGAATATCAATACCGGTATTAGTGAAACAGGTCAGAAAATATTTGCAGCTACCGTAATTAACGGTGTATAAACCACCCTCGTGTATTAACCGCACCCCTCATTTAACTGCGAGGTGCAGCTGAAAATGTAAATTTAAAAAACAGTAGAGGACCTAGGATAGAATCTTGTGGTACGCCATGTATTAGAAGAAAAATTGGAGGAATTATTATTATTAACTACATATTGAGAACTATCAGAAAGATTACTTTCAAACCAAGATGACATACAAATTTGAGTGTTGTTCTAGTTTCCGAGTGGTGAGTCAACACACTGATTACTGAGCTGGGAGACATTGCCAGGCATAGCGCCAGATGGAGGGGCATAAATCGAAACTTTAAAAAAAAAAAAAATTGGTGTACTGTGTATAAGACGCACCCCCGACTTTGAATTTTTTTCGGCGGCAAAAAAGTGCAGTTAATACACCGTTAATTACGGTAACAACAAAAAGAGCTAAATGCCATGTAATTGTAAAGTCAATGGCTGTTACATGTATCCTTTAACAGTGAGAAATTTTGAAAGAAAACAAAACAATACTTTGTGATGATATATGCCTATGATACAAAAGGCCTACTAATGTCAAATGTAAAACATACATTATTTGTGGGTACTTCCCACATGAATGTGTGTACAGTTCATTACCAATATTCACTTGAAGAAAAGACTGATTTCTGAAATGAACAGCTGGTGCAAGAAGGAACAAAGTTCAACAAATGATACCTGTTTTTTGCCTACATGTGTAGATACAATGTAGTCCTCACATCCACTCTGCTGATTCTACAATGTACTGATTTACAAACATTACACATTTTCACTGTAATGTAGTTTAACCCTCTCCTGATACATGTACATTTGTTACAAAAATAAACAACATCCTAAATGTACAAGGTTGCTGCATTACCAACAGTTTCCCGCCAACTTCGCCAAGTCACAAAAACATACATTTATTTCAAAAAGCACAACTGTACATTAATCGGCTCAAAGGCATGGGAATTAAAAGGCATTTGTACAGATTTGAATCCTACATGTACAGGGGTACATCTCACCACTGAAGTCGCAGATTTTGCAACTCAGATTTTGGTGAACGCTATTTTGTTTTCTGTATCATTCTGATTCTTTAATTAAGGCGACCAATTACAAACAGCTTATGTGGATATCATTAGGGGACATAAATTTGAAATAAGTACAAAATATATGCAACACCTAAGTGGTTAAGGATTAGAGCTGAAAAGGGTAAAATGGATTTCATATCACCGCACAAACTAGTATATGCAGTGCCGACTGATTTTGACTCCTGCATTTTCATCAAAACAAAAAAGGTTTCCTAACCCCGCGTGCCCAGTGAATGGAGCACTGTCCGCACAGACGCACAGCACCATAGTCCATGTCATGTAAATGTGTTCTCGAACCATGCAACTAATGTACCAAACCTGTACATTGTATGTGCTATTCAAAGTTATTGGTTTCAATTGATCAACCAAACGAGCACAATTAGCATTCAGATCCTGTCTGAATAGATAGCTTTGCAAACCCCATGCTACTCGAACCTGGCAAAAAGCCATGGCATTTGGAATACCAAGAAGGTCCTAGTACATGAACACATTGGACTCCATGTTTTCAGCTTCTGGAATGGTGATATCATTATCATACATTTTTCCCCGTTAGATTTCAAAACTGTTTTAAAGCAGGAATACAAAGTTGATTTCATAAATGGTAGCTACTTGTATGCATTAACTTGTACTAGCCTGGCTTGCATTAACAAAAAAGTTCAACAATAATAACATTTACACTTGTAAACAAACATACTTGTAGGCCTTAATTCAGAAAGGACAAAGAAATGAGGTATTTAATTTAAATAACTGAATGCATGGCCCGGGCTATGATCTAAACATTAATCAAGGACGAAAGTATACGCACATGTACACAATATAAGGGTGAGCCTACAATGTTTGTTGCCTGCTCATTGGATATGAGGCCACATACAAACTACACTTGTGTAGGTTTACATCAACTTCCTTTGGGATTTTTGGTCAGAAATACATGAACAAGATCACATGAATGTCATATATGTTTCGTCATCAGCCACGGATGCTCAACTACAATGTACGCTCAATCAGACTGCGAACACACACAGGCATCATGATCAGCCCATCTATACAGCACAGTATACAACAGCAATACTGTCTGTGCATTGGTTTATTGCAATCAAAACAAGCTAAGTTTGGATGGGCTGAGCAGGGTTTATGATTGTACGTATCCTGACCATGTGGGCACACACACATGTAGTGTACAGAAATTGGGTCAGTGGTGTAGACAGATCAATTCATGACCTTATCTCAGGTAAAGGTCACAGAGCTGAATAGTTGGCTAGTGGCTACTCTACTGTACTACATTGTATAAATAAACAATGTACCCCCTGCACACAGCTTTCTATACAGTTGACAAGATAAGCACTTATTGGAGTTAACAAGGAACAATAGAATGAGTGGCAGTGTCATAATAGCTATCAAGGAGATTACTTATTGCTGATCAGACAAGAACTAATGCTTACACAATAGATTTAGTCTCAGTCTAAACATCTTATAAATTCTTTAGTAAGCTCATTAAACACAATTTCTTTCAGTCTTGTGTTGAATGGGTTGACCAGCCAGTGCCTGATCTGTGAACTCAGATAAGGTCAGGAAATGCAGAGGGTGTGTATTTGTTGTGTCTGTCTTTTACTTCAAGTACTGTTTATAAAATGGTGAATCAGAAACCTGCACTCTACAGGTAGAATCTATGTACATATGTACAAAATGAATTGGTATCATGGAAAGTGAAGTAAATGGGAGGTCTGCTGGTTACTTTGCCTTTGGTGATGCACTCATTAAATTCCATAGGAACATCTCTAATAGCTTACAAATTAACATTAAGGAGTACACGTACATGTATACAGGAAAAATTTTGTTTCTTAAATCCAATTTCTATCTTTGCCCTGGCAGGGAAAAAGTATCTGCATAACAGCGTTCTCTAACCCAAGAGAAAAAGAGAAAATTGTAAAATATACCCATACCAATTTTAGAATTTTTTCTTGGATAAATAAAGTTTAAAAAGTTAAATCATTTGGGTTACATTGTAAATATGCCATTATTTTTTGAATGGCTTAAACACTGAAATTTCAATGGTTTCCCAAAAAGCTGTAAATAGAATACATACAATTAATTTTTGTGTTCTGGCACTGTCTAGCATAATACAATTACCTTTACACTAAGTTGGTTGTCATAAGGACATTCTATTTCATCAATTACTTCATAGTGCTTCTGTCCACATGAAGGGCTATGACAGATGATAAATTTCAGAAACTTTTTAAAGATCTCTGATCACCCCCCCCCCCCCCTCCTAAAAAAATGCAAATAGACACTTGTGAATAAAAGTAGAAATTTACACCTAACAATGCAATCTTTAACTTTGACTTTGTACATGTACTTTTGAGGATTCTCAGTAATGTCACAACCATCCCATGGTTGTCTTTGATTTTCCTAAGAAATTCTAGACTACAATTTTGCCTACCTGGAGAATTGATGCTCAATTTTTTTACATACATGTAGCAAGAGTCAAACACAACACAACACAAATCAACCGAAGAAAGGTCAAATAACAATGGGTTTAAACTAAGGGCAATTGAGTCTCAAATGATTTATTGGGGGAGGGGGGGGGGGGGAGAGGAGAAGAGTACAATTTTAGTCAGGCACTGAAATATTTTGATATTTCAAGAATTTCTTAGATCATACCAATAAATGAATAATTTCAGATATCTTACATGTGGTACTGGAGTAATCACACATGCATCTTTTCCAAAAGGTATTCAGATAAAAATTAAACATAAGTTTAATACACTCAAAAAAGGAATTCTCATCACATAATTTTGTTTTCTTTCTGTATCCTTTTTCTTCAGAAAAAGCAAAATGAAAAGAACATTCCAAAATTATCCAGTGACACAATTTTGTATCAATAAGCTACAGAAATGCCAAAATATTCTGAAATATGAATGTGCTCTGCAATAGGGGAAACAAGGGTTTAGAACACTCTATTTATTATGAAGACAATGCCACTAAATTCAGAGTTATGATTTGGATTCTTTTAAAAATATATTTACTTCAATTTCATGAACCAGCTCCACAATGCCTTTGATCATCTGTAAACTCTCTTGCATACTAACTAGCTAATATTTACTAACATTAATTTGAACTTGTTGCAGAAATTTCACTTTCATTTTTGTTGTGAACTTGTGATACCGGTATTTGTACAAATGTCTGATACCAATTTGGCGATTTGTATTGTTTCTTCAACCGTTTGTTGTTTATCCAAAACAGACTAGAATAGGGAAGGGGTAGTGCGCCGGTGTGCCTGAATGCCTAGTCAACTGTTGCAGTTGCCTTTGTCCTTTGAATTGTAAGAAACTATGCACCAAAAAGCGCTAACTGCCAGAAACATTTGACATTAAAGGCCTACAGTACATGAATGGAATCCTTGTCGCTGTCATCAGATCAACATTCAATTGACAGAATAAGACTCTGAAATTATAGAATGCGCATTATGGTCTAGATCTAGTGATCTCTAGTTTAATTGATTTTATGATGTGAAATCATAGGTCTACATGTAGCCAGTTAGCCAGATCAACATTCAATTGACAGAATAAGACTCTGAAATTGAAGAATGTGCATTATGGTCTAGTGATCTCTAGTCTAATTGATTTTATGATGTGAAATCATAGGTCTACATGTAGCCAGTTATTGATTTCAGTTGATAATTAAATAAATGTAGATCAATCCTCTAGATCTAGACCTAAACCTTTCAAAAATAAAATAAAGTAACTTAGAGTTAGACAGATTGCGAATAGACTCTAAATAACGTTGTCTGCCTAATTAAAAATATTGCTAAATCATGTAATCTAGGCCTAGTACCTAAACTTTAAATGAAGACCAATTATGAATTAAACACAAGAAAAAGTTATAGACTTCTTTTTAATGTAAATAACGAAGACGAGATCTTACTCAGTTACAAATACAATGTAGACCACCCCTACCGGTACCGCTATAGACTACAATGTAGATCTACATGTACCTCCCCTACCTAACAGTTAGAACTACATGTAGCTAATTGAGATATAAATTCCGGCCCCCTGTTTTACCTTACTTGGTATGTAACTGTTAGTGTCTTACACAAAGTACTAGGTATACACATAACTGCAATTAAAGTTCTAGATACAAGATACGAGATATTTCTAGACGGGGTCTAGGTCTAGAGTCTAGTGATTGGTAAAATAAAATGAAACAATAGTTACAAACATGATAGGGCCTAGGGCCATGGCCAGGGAGTTGCATAGCAAAATATACGATTAAAATTAAAAAAATAAGATCTTCATCACTTTAAGCAGAATAATAAACAAAATCTTGACAAAGTTATTAATAATAAAAGTAGCAAGAATAGCATGAATATGGTGGTAATTAACATATGAATAGGATCAAAGTCAACCACATTACAACTGTACGTCAATGACAAAGTCACTTCCAGTTCCAGTTCCACGATCCACTTGAACACCAACGCACATTTTCTACAAAATTACCTTCGTTTTTCTCTGTGGACGGTCGCCATAATCGGTCTCTGAATCGTCTGAAGCTATTCAACAGTTCTAATTCTAAATATCCAGTGTAATAAATCCAGATAAATAATCCAAATCTGTGTTGTTTCGTAGTTTTCAGTACAAAAAAACCCAAGTTCGTCCGTATCCGAGTCGCGTAGACTTTCCAGTTGTGTGTAGTTACCAATACAATCTCGATACACTGCCGAGGATCGCATTGGTCATGGGGTCCTTTCTCTGGCAAGTTTCCGCTGAAATTAAACTCAGATGATGGTTTGTTATCGTCGCAAGTTGGCGAACTGTCCGCGCCGCTCCGCTCGGTACGGTACGGTACGATCGAGGGATCTGCATGAGACCGGAGCGCATAGGCACAATTATGACGTCAGTCAATTCATACCGGTAGATTCTAGCAAAATCTCAAGCTATTGTCCAAGGGAAGTTTAAGCCTAGGGCAGAATAAAAGCAATGGAGCAGAGCAGGATTTTGAATAAAATCCAGAAACATTGATCTGGGCCCCGTCTTACAAAGAGTTACGATCGATCCAAATCAATCGTAAGTCCTCCAATCAATCGCAAGTTTGCAGTCTCCTATCTCTTATGTACATAGTATACGATTGATATCAATCGCAAATAACTTACGATTGATATCAACTCTTTGTAAGACTAGACGTAGCTGTTGTTAATGTTGTTGTTTTAGTTTTAAGGGCGTGTGTCATTCAATTATGAATATTTACGCCGAATTCAAGTTTTTTAATAATTTTAAATAATTTTAAATGGAAACAAAACAAAAAGGAGGGAAACAAAAAAAATTGACTCTGTTCAATTTCAGAGGTCGTAGTCTTTTTAGAGAAAACATGTAGAAACACAATTTAAGGGATCGTTTAACATGCAATGTAAAATATGAGATACACGGCCCTACGTGTTATCAGTGTCTGTGGTATGGTGTAGTATTGAAGCCCTAAAAAAAATCGCGCTTCAAAATGATCAAGAAGTGCCTCAAAAAAGTAAAACTCTTTGAGTGACCGGTTTTACCATACTCGTTTTCCCCAATAGACTGTAGTGTTATGAAAACCGTCCGGCGAACGGTTTTCAAAATTTGTAATTCCAATCATAAATATCTTGATAATCAGACAGGCGATTGGCTTGTAAAAGTCATGGATTTCCTGACTGACCTAAAGGTTTATAATTATGATTGCAGCATGAGCTAAATCCAGAATTTTGTTTCAGAATCTGAGACAAAGTTACCGGATCCCTTTAAAGGAGACACTTGAAGAAAAACAATACAGTACAAGACAGTAGACACTCAGATCATATCACCATTTTTTAATTTTTATCTATCCTATCGCTATCTATCATCCTATCTATCTATCTGTCTATATATCTGTTTACCTGTCTGTCTGTCTGTCTTTGAGTCTGTCTGTCTACGCCTATGCCTATATATTCACATACCTCTATTGTGTATTTTTCTTTTGAACTCTTGGCACCATGCACAACCCCTTCTGGTATATTCGTGGTCCTTATATAAATGCCATGACCCCCCCCCCCCCCCCCCCCCCCCATAAAAAAAAAAAAGAATTACAAAAATGACAGATATGTTATTTTGTAATAAAGTACCGGTACAGAAGATGTGTGTAAGTGATTTCCATCAAATTTCTCATTTTGTGATTATACATTTTGGTTTTATTTGTGTGATCCCTAATTCAGCCAGGACCCCCTCATAACTCCAGATGGCACTCCTTAACGGAGCAAATGAGGCCGTTGTATTTATTACTCTTTGATAACAGACTTGAATTAGAATCAAAGCCTAACATAAAATTGGTTTGTATGAAAACAGGGACAAAAAATTAGGATTTTTTATTATGGCCATGACTTGTGAAGTCATACAAGAACTCTCCATTGTTTATTCAATTATCTGATATCCCAGCAATACCTTTCTATGAAATTAAGCCCAATGTATTAGAAAGAGGACATTTTCATTGAATATGTGGGGAGTTACATTTATCTTTAAACGGCATCAAGATGTCACTATCAATTTAAGACCACTCATGATTCACAATCTTGCTTTGGGAAATTTATCATTTTATTCTTTGTTTGATTTTTGTCAACTAAAATTAATGACGATTCTTATTTGTTATTATACTTATTATCATTGTTCTCTTCTTCTTCCTTCTCCTCCTCCTCCTCATCACCATCGTCACCATCATCACCACCCTCCTCCTCATCACTGTCATCATCCACACATTACTATCATCACCACCACCATTCTCTTCCTCCCCATCATCATCCTCACCATCATCTCCATCACATTCATTGTCATCTCCATCATCACCACCATCATAACCAGCATCATCATCCTTAGGACATATATCATTATCATCACTACCTTCATCATATTAAACATCATAACAATTAGCATCATCTTCTCCTAGTAACCATCATTACACTACTCTACTGAATCCAAAGATGATTCTATATATGCAAAGGATGGATGTCGAATGCTCAATACGATCAAGTCTCAGGTTTCATGATAACCGCTCACACCACTGAAAAGGTACTATTTTGTTTATGGGAGCCCTATTTGGACTTCATATAATTACAGTGGAATCTTATTTCAGCGATTGATATACTAGTACATTTTAAGGTTTCTCTCCCTCTCTCTCCCTCCCTTCCTCACGCCCTCCCTCTCTCTCTCGCTCTCTCTCCTCTCTCTCTCTCTCTCTCACTCCCTCTCTCTCTCTCACTCACTCTCTCTCTTTCTCACACACTCACTCTCTCTCTCTCTCTCTCTCTCTCTCACTTACTCTCTCTCTCTCTCTCACTCTGTCAGAGCTCTAATAAACTGTTTTCTTTAGCTTTCCAGAGCTGTATTGCATACCACTCCTGTGAATTTATATTTTGACTGTCTCCCAAACCATAAAGGATACCAGACAAAAGACATCAAAAATAGGCATGAGAAGTGAGAGTCTTTGATTCCATGAAATTATGTTAATTCAATTCATAATCATCATTGAACAATAATATATATGTACATAACATTCTAAAGCAACAAATAATACATTGAATTGTGAAATAAAAACAAACAAAAATTAATTGAACATAAGAAATTATCAAGTTATCAGAAAATAATGAAATTTCTTTTTTGCACTTATTCAGAATGAAATAAGAGAGTGAAATAAAATGACAAAATTATATACTCGACTAATCAAACAAAATATTCAGCACACAGAAAAGTTTAACTATTTTCTCCAAATTTTGTCAATATCACAAAAAGACTAGACACTCACTACATAAACAATATTTCTAATGGAGAATTCTCTGTATTCAGCCATTTTATGTTGTTCTGAAGAGTGCATGTGTAAAAGGTTCTATCTCTGGGGAAAGAAGATATCGGTATTCAAGAACAATGTCTTTACTTCTAATGTTTTTAAGTAAAAGTAAACAATATAGATTGAGAACAAAATCAAGTCACTCTTGGAAATTTATGATGTGAGCATGCAAAGAAATTATTATTTTGGGATTTACCATGACATTTCATATCAATCATTGCAATGAATAATGAACTTTGATTCCTTACTGTAACCTGCAAAATAATGTTTTGTAGGAAATGGTTTCATTAAAAATAATTCTTATGCAGTATATCATGCACGGACAACTGACACTAGAATTTTCTGCAGACATGAAATACTGCTCAAAAGTCGGAGACGGTTTCTGAAAGTGCATTTCTGCTCAATTAGCAAATACTTATTTATATATTGATTGATTTGTTTATCTAACTATTCAATCAATTGTTTACTTTACTTATTCATTAACTTTTTTAATTGATTTAGTCGTTTTCTTTATAATCTTCATTATTGCAGTGTCAGTAATCTCCATATTTTGGAGCAATACCTGAAGTACAGCAAGTAAACAAGTTATTTCTATCACATTTAATGTTTAATATCAAGCAAAAGAGGGAGTTCAAATGGCACAGGAGCACTAGGTGAGCTTTCAAACTACCCATTTAGAGGACTTTGAACATTCAGTCAGGTAACATGCTTAAAGGTGGTGTATCCCTCAGCAGGTCTGAAATCTATACAGTTATGTAAGAAGGGTATTTAAAACAAAATGTTTATAATATTTGCTAAAAATAGAACCTTGGCTGTTCTTGATATCTTATCGACTTAAAAAAAAAAAAACATTAGTGGGTCATTAAACCCCCAAACTCGAACTCGAAAGTATGAACTAGCCCATTTGCAATTCAAGGAATATCATAGGTTTTTCATGTTAAGAATTTTGTTTTTGAATTTTGCTACCCAAAACACTGCATTATTGCCCCTACAAAACATTTCTATGATTTCTAAAACATAGCTTTTTTATTGTTGCTGTTGTTGTTATACAGTATTCATTATTCATGCTCTTTAAATGTCTAATACTTTTGATTGATATTTGAGGGAAAAAAGGATCAAGGATAAACAAAACTTGGGTAAATATTCATATAACTTGGTGACTTCATGAAGCATGATACATATATATCACATTTATGAAATATAGATTTAGAATATAAATTGTTACATGATTAACAATTGTATTGTCCATATAATAATTACCTGAATCACTTGAAAGATATATATTTATATATTACATATTCGTATAGACTTTATATATATATATACAAAAAAGATCAATTCACAACATAATGTCAAAATACCAATTTTACAAAGATTATGTATTTCTTAAAAGTAGCGTACCTGTACTTTTTCATTTACTCATCTCTGTATGGAAATATCTTGGTTAATATTTTTGATATCTTGAGTTGAATACTCATATACATAAAACATAACATATACTCAATTACAATGTTTATACATATAATGTATATTTCAAAACATATTCATGTCATTGTATCCATATAATACATACACAATTATATTCACAGATAAAAATGTTGGCAACTTCTATTACCTCTGAAAGAATAATCAAAATGAACAATAAAATGTGAACATTGTAGATATAGAAATTAAATTGCAACATTACGTCACGTTGCACTACTGCATAGACTACACAATGAATACAGATAATAATCAAACTCAGTTGAATGCTAACATTCCTTTTCAATCTCCAATCATATAAGATTGTGTTATTAGACATACATTATTTCCAATGAATGTAATGAACACAAAATTCTGCATTGTACGTTATTAAAAGATAACATAAGAAGAAGTTACCAGTCTAGTGTCTATGCAGGGAATCAACAATCCCTGCCTCTATCGGTAATCAATTATAATTTCAGAAATTAATCAATAATACATAGTGTACTGTCTGCAGATAGGTAGCCAGAATGGCGATAACTTTTGTGAAAAAGCTTTGAGTGAATACACATCTAGCTCTCAGCAAACAATACTAAATAGGAGAGCAGAAAAGTAAAGAAAATATATCAAATTTTTAAAAAAGAAGAAAATCTATAGCTTCTAAATATTTGTAAGAGTGCTTCAAGAATGAATGATTTGAAGTTTTTGAAGTTTAGATTTTGTTAGGTTAGGTTAAGTCTAGTATTTAGCTAGGTGCCATATTCTCAACCACTTCTCTACTCCATCCATAATCCCTAAAGTAGACTCCTTCTATAATTCTTCCATCCATCCATCAACCAATATCCTAATGACCATGAATATCCTTATGGGAGATAGAGAGAAAGATAGATCAAACCTAGAGGTCCCTCGATGATTCCACTAACGGTCTCCACGCTCCTCGCTTCACCCATCATCTCTAATGCCAGTAATTCAAAAATTATGGTAATACATGGTGCCTGTTCCAAGATTAAAACTACAACACCGATTCCCATGATCTGTACACGTGAGGACTATTAGGCCAAATTTAGGACTTTTTGGCTCACGGCTTGAATCCGCACATCCGTTGAAAACGAGTAAGATTAAAGAGAAAATGAAAAATGGCCCGAAATGGGGGTGATTTAGCACCTGGTTTTTCACTCAGGAGTGGTCACATGATAGATAGCCAAGTCGTTGTATCACAAGTTGATAGCAATATTTCTTACTAAATGTTTGGCAGGCCTGGATCTCTTTAGAAATATTGATTAATGAAATACTATCCTATTAGAACTCTTAGCATGGAATAGTCAAAAGTAATTTCAATCTAAGGTATCAATGACAAATTCAGCTTTCATTTGTTATTTTTCCAATTCATGCAAATGATTATTTTTTAATCGGAGATAAAAGAAAAGCAGGTTACCGTACATGAAATTTAAAAAAATATCACTTTATTGTTGCTTTTGATCAAAAGGCACTTGCATATGCTTGACTTTTGAAACCAATACCAAGGTTGTATATTCTTTGCAGGGCGAGATATTGGCGAGATATTGACAAGAGTAATAATCAGATTTAGCCCAAAATTTAATTTGTTATGATTGGATGTACACCTGAGGATACCAAACAATCCAATCTTTGTGCTTCAGCTTAAATTTCTATTAAAATGAGGAAGAAATGCAAGCCAGCATGGACAACAGGTATTCCCAAAGGCTATCCAGATCTTGCATCTAATGAATGAAGGAGGTGGCATGGCCTTGCATTACCATCTAAATTTAATAGAAAGCTGTATACGCTTTCTACAAGTGACGACATTGTTTTGCCCCATGCAGCCATCGTAATCGGATTAAGAAGATGGACAAGCAAGAATTCTAAGACTGTTATTTCTTGTGATACATTGAGAGGTTTTTTTATATGGGGAGCCAGCTAGGAGAAGATCCTTCTTTTGATCTGAAAGAAAGAAAATTCAATGTCTTGACCAAACTAAAAATCTTTTCATCCGAGAGGACTTGTTTCTTCTGTACAAGAAGCATATTTCTGATGCAGTCAAACTATTTTAGGTGGAAAATAAAGGTAAATTTAGGGGGGACCAAAAAAAGGTTGCTCTGCAATCTAATGTCGTGTAGTGCAGTGCCCTTTTTGATTACTTTACATCACATGCACACTTTAACATGGTTGATGCTTTTATAGTGAAAATGAAAGAGAGAATATCTGCTCAAGGGATACAAAAAAAGGACATGTTATGCAAATATTCAGGGGTTAAAAATATGGCTTGAAAGGCATGATCAAAGTCCAATAAACAAGTACAAGCATCTCTTTCTCTCTCTCCCATAAAATTTTGAAAATGAATGGTTTCTCTTGAAAGGCGTCATTTCTATCAAAAGAAAATAATTGCAAGCATTCAGGCGTCATACGGCCCCACAGAGGTTCAGTTACTACCTATTAATCTATTGGTTGAAGTGAGAACAGATTTGAAAGGTTTGTGACGCTTGGCTTACCAAATCAACTTAAATGCTGAAATGAAAAACATAATAATAAAGAAAATCTGTCTGTGTCCCTATTTTGAGTTTCATAGATTTATAGAGATACATGTAGGTTAATGTCACCCATCCTAGCTCATGACCTAGTTGTGAAATAACAAATCTGTATTATTCCTCATGAGATACATATAACAAACCCAGAAAGAGGTCTAGGGTGTGCCCTTTTGTAACATAACAACTATGAATTCAAACAAGATAAAATATAGTAAAAGATAGACTTCTATCTCTATCTCTATTCAGAAATTTGGTCATAATCACAAAACATTAAAGTCACCAGGCAACGACGTACAACAATAGCGCATTTATATTATTATCAAATCTGATCTGCCTAAATGAATTTTTCAACCAGTTAGGGTATTGCAGCTCTGTAAATTTGTAAGATTCTCTTCATCCTGTTAGGATGATTTGGCCGTCTTGTAATTTGTCTAGATTAGTTACTCTCCCACTGTCTTCTATCTTCCTCTATCATCACTTCTTCCATTTAGATGACATACCCAATACCTTCATTTGTTCTCCAAAGATTTTGTATGCAATAACTTTATGGCTTTCTTAATACTTCCACTATTTATCTTTGAATCCAACATGACTGATGAGATTGGGGGAAAAGCTGGTGACATAGGACATTCAGAAGATTGCTGAAACAAAGTTTCTATACAGTTCAACATCCTTCTGTTTGAATATCAACAAAATATGTAATATATCTTGTGTTCAACAACTGTGTAGATGCGCACACACAAAAAGAAGATAATATTCTTCTTTTTACTTGACTAACATAAAATAGGAATGAATAATGCAAAGAGAAAATTGCACAAATGAAATAAAATCATTAACTGATATCAAAGAATTAATGAACACAAATGTTTTAGCAGGGTAAAGGAAATCAACATTATTTTTCAGTCCATGTATAAAAAAAGAAAAGAAACTACCACTAGGTAACACAATGTTACAGTTCCATACTACTTTTTAAAGGAAATGATTAGTTTTAACCTCAGAAAAAAAATATGACCAATTAATTTTTAAACAGAAAACAGCCTTGTCACAAAAATATCTGCAACAAAACTCTTTAAAAGAATACATTTTTTAAAATTAATTTAGTGAATTAAACATAGAATTTTCCTTGTACTATACTACAATATGCTTTTTTGTGCACAAAAATGCAAATTTCTAGATTTAATAGAGGAATAGACTTAACATGTATTTAATGAGGAATATACCGGTTAGGTCTCTTTAAATGAAATGAAGTGAGCTGTATAAATGGAAATAGTTTGATTATTTTATTTGTTGTCACCTGTGTTATATAATATAAAATACATGTATTGCAGATTTTGGCACTAGTTATCAGCTGGATTACTTATGTAATAAATCATAGTCAATACTCATTGCTTACAGGTAATCTTGAATTTTCACAATGAGAGGATAAAAAGTTAATTGGTTTATAGTATGAGGCTAAAATAAATCCTGATATTCCGCTGGTTGTTAGAACCATTACAATGTTAACAAAATGAAGTAAACTTGCCAAGAACTATAATCACTGAACAAGCATCGACATGAATATGCACACATGGCGCAATGTTTTTGTACAGATGTGTCATTCCTGGATCCGTTAAGTTTCATTTTTATTTTATTTTTCCAGCAATTATATCAAATCTAATTAAAAAAAAACAATATTTAGCAAATGTAGTAAACTTCTAGTTTCAAGAATTATTGGGGAATGTTGTGGGTTATGTGAGAATCTTAATTTTCATCATTAACAGAGCTCAAGACTATTATTATTCAGTTAATACTACACAGACAGTATCGTTAAATATAATCATTAATGTAAGGATAATAATGAGTAATTGACCACGTCAAGTACAGCTAGACTTTTGTTTGACTGCTCTCGCTCTTTCCGCCCTTGCCCTTCTCTCTTCCATGACGCCGACGGTCATCGCCCAGTTCAGGCTCTCGGAGCAGCATCTGGTTGACCGGTGGGGCCATGGCGATGGTCAGATCAGGGCCTGATGGAATAGCTATGTCTGGCATGATCTCACTCAGCATGGGCATCACCTCAGGTGTAGCTGTAGCCTGTAGGTAGGGGACAAGATGGGTGATGGACAAAGAAAAGGAATTGGAATATTAGATATTATAAGATGATGACGTAAATCCTAATCAAATGATTGGTTGAAAACGTACACGTCACCAGGCATTTATTTTGCCTAACACATAATTTGTTGTTGTTGTTGCTATCATAAGCGCGACACAAGTCAGAGGTCCGATATTAGAAGTGCGCAAGGCAAGGTACGCCTCAATTTGCGCTTATTTTAAACCATGGGTTATGTAAATGAGGATTTAAACCATGGGTTAGATTTAAACCTCCTTTGTGAATTCGGGCCTTTGAGTTTGATATGAGGGTGATTGATCAAGTAACAAGGATCCAAGTCATAATTTTATAAAACAAATAATACACATCATTTTGTTCGGGCATTATAAAATTACCAACACTCGGTACCTTGTGTGGGTAATTCTTACTAATGCCCTCACTGCTGTGTATTATTTGTATATCAATCTCTGCTATGAATCGATTATCTTATTCTATGGTTCATCGGCTATGTTCTGATCAGGTAAAATTGTCTTGTACATTTTTGGGAACACAACATGGGAGAAAAGTAGGAGGATTATAATGACAGACATTAATGTGAAACATGAATCGATTATCTAACTCAATCATTCAATGAGTATTAAAATTGTGAGCATGTTACAATGTCTTCTCAATCATTGATAAGCACACCCGAACTATGGTGAGACAAAGGTCTTAATGTATTCATCTTTATCATCACCATCATCACCACAATTATTATCTTTACCAACACCACCACTACTACTACCATCACCATCTCCACCACCTTCACCACCATCATCATTATCTCTACCATACATCATCATTTTTACAAACAGGTTTAATAAACCTATTATATTCTCTATGAAGTGATATATTAGCTGAAACAATTTAATTCAGTTAATAGGCTACATTAAATTATCAAAAGTGTTAATTTTTATCACCTAGTTTGCAACTCAGATTAGAATACAGCTAGAAATAGAACGATGCATGGTTATAGTGCATCAATACATGTAAATGAGGCTTACGAGTGAAAATCATTTTATCCATAATAAAGTAATTGATAACGTTGCTGATAAAAACAAAGCATGTTCAAGAATTGCATCTAATAAAGAACTTCCAGTTGTAACTTGTAATCAATAAATCAATTTCTCAATCCAACTCTAATAATATTGTGGTTTGAAACAAATACTTAGGCTTGGCTGCTGCTTCATTAGTTTCATAAAACTTGATTTATAGTATTTTTTGTCCAAGACAACTCGCAACAAACAATATAACCAGAATTACTTCTGATGAAGATTTATGTTCTCATACAATGCTGATAAGAAAAAGAATTGTTATGACAATCTGGAGAAGTACACATGTATATGAACCTGTGTTAGTGATTGTCATTATGATATTGGGTGAATGAACAACTAGAATCTATTCATTCTATAGCAAAGAGTTTTTTGTTTTCTGAAATGATAAAATCATTGAAAATCTTGGCAACATAAAAATAGCAACCATTCATCATTGTACACCAACCATGTATCATTTCCACTGTAGCACATATCAAACCCACTCTAGTAGAGTAGTGATTTACACAAACTATATTCACTGCATACTGCGATAAAATATCATTTAATAGCTCAATATAGTATAAACAGTTTTCCCTTGGTGTCCATTTGAGCTGCTGAACCCTCAACTTCACCATTCAAGTTCAACCTTTTCCACCACTATAAACCTTCAAGATGCAGTATTTGGGGTTCAGTGGCAATAAATATGCTTTTATGGAATAGGCCTATCTATATATTGTCAACAGTATTGTGATTTATGGACCTATCTGTATAACCCTGGACACCTAGGCATATTCAGGATGCTCAGACGGTCAAGTTTCACACACCCCCAGCGCAAGTGCTTTCCCTGAAGACATCCCCAAGAAAAAAAACATATGAGAAAGAGTTCAGAAAAAGGTTATAATAAATACCGGTATGTATTAGGAACTAGGTCTCATACTGGCCTATACAGTATGATGAAGGAGAAAGGTGTTTTTTTTTTCTTGGGGGGTGGGGGGGGGGGCAGGGAAGGATCAAGGATTTTCCAAAAGGGATGGGGGGGGGGGAGAAATGTATGAAATTGCGTGCGTGAAGCAATTATGGCATGGGGTCCTGGGCCTGCTAAAGAGCCCCGGTAAATGTTGAACCTTAAGATGCTCTAGATGCTACATTCTGAGACTGAATGAGTAAACTAAACATTTATGTTAATTTTTTTTTTTTTTTTTTTTTTTGGGGGGGGGGGGAGGTAAAAGGGGGGGGGAGACAAGGGTAAAGACATTAAGCATGGATTAGGGAGGTGAGTGAGTGAGTGAGAGAGAGAGAGAGAGAGAGAGGGAGAATGGGAGAATCGATATTAAACTTTGATTTCTCTTTGATAGCACAACTTAGCCACTTAAAACTGTATACATGTGCATACTTTTCACAATTTGGAAAAATATTTACATATTTTACCTAAAATTAGTATTCAATCTCAAGATGGGTTTCACTAATTATAGTTGTTTGCTTTTAAAAAGCTCTTCTCCCTTCTTGTGATTTAACAGAGAAAACGATTGCAAACCATTCTCTCATCTCAAGAGAGATTCTCCTATTTTCTCTCTCCACTATACATGGGTAATAAAGGCCATACATGTAAATACATGTATTGCATGAATAGAGACCCCCCCCCCCCCCTCCCGCCGAACTAATGCATACTACTAGCGACACATACATTTTAAAAAGGTCAATAGAGATTTTGGGCAATTAAATAAGGTATCACTCTAGAGCTTGAAGTTGAAGTGGATATATAGTGGTCTACACCAAGCTAAATCCAAGCCACTCTGTAACCTTTTAAAACCAGACAATATAAATGAAGATTAATGTACCTCCTGATTTCTAGAGAACACAGCGGGTAATGAGGTACCGGTAAGCGAGTTGAATGACCCGACTCCAGGAAAGTCAACCACCTGTAAATGTCCAGACCTACAAATTATCTTTTTCTCTATCTCTATCTTACTTTTCATGTACCATCGTTAAATATTCCTCCTCTTTCTACCACCGAACACTCTTGACAATTTTCATCCTTTTTCATTCCCAAGATGCCATTTTCCTCCATGAATAATTAAATGTCATTGCTTCATCCTAGAGACACAGCAAAGGTAAAGTTAAAATATCTTTATTATAATCTTTCCAACACCCTTCCCTTTCATAACCTCCATCCTTCTCTTTCCCATCATTCACTTTCTTCCACTTTCCTCTGTGAATGATGATATCCCATTATTTCACCCATGAGACATCCCTAAGGCATTTAATGCAAGGAAGATGGTTCACCGGCACGATTTATTGCTGGTGAGAATATAAGACTGAATTTCCAATGGAGTTTTCTTTGCCTATAAAACTTCCGGCTATGTAATGATACAAGCCATAAATCAATAGGTAATTCATCATGTATTAATGTTTACACCTAAATTCATATGCAAACAGTGTTAATCACTGATTAGTGGAAGCAATGTATGATCTAAAAAACATCCTCCTACCTTTGAATAAGAAAGAATCTTAGGTAAAGATGTGACTGCACATGTGCCAAAGTGGTTAAGAAAAGAAGAACATTTTCTGGGAAACCTTTGGAGGTTGTTTAGTCTACAATCTATCACGCATGATGCAGTAGACAGAAAACCAGTTCTACCAAACAATGTGCTAACAGACTTTAGGCTTATGCATAAAATAGGTGGTGACACAGGATAAAGGGCTAGGGAAGAGGATTTTCTGCCTATGAATATTAAATGAAAAATACAATTATACCTCGGTTCCCTCATCCCATTTCAAGTATTCAGAAGGTTCCAAAGTTATATACATGTAGGCAGGGGAATAGTATTTGGCAAGTACCCTTGTATAATTAAAAACATCTAAACTCCTGAAATATTTCAATAGGATACCAACATTTTGTAACATTAAGAATAAAAAGCTACTGAGAAGATGACTAAACTCTCACTACAATTTACAATTTACACCCACTTTTCAATTCTTACATGGATTTTTAATCAGCTGTTGAAGTATATCTCAGTCCCTAGCACAAAATTGTGTTTCAACTTGAAGCCATGATGTGGAGGGTTATCCAATGACCCACATATATGTATATTTTTCTAGATGACAATGGATTTTTTTTTCTTCTCAAGACAAGAATGTTGTTCAAGAATGAGAAATAACAGGAGAAATCTCATATCTGAACTCATGGGTGATGTGACAGAAGAAAAAGGGCAAGAAGAAGAAGTTCTGATGAAATGGAGGGGGTCGGTGTCAGATAGAAGATAAATTTTCAACAAGAATACTCATGAATCACTTGTAAGGATAACAAGGTCTGGAGTTCACACAGGTAAATCAAATGCTTCAAGTAGAAGGTTCACTTCTCAAAGTCACACACACGTACACCCTTTTGCTCTTACCCCTCCTAACAGGCCGGGGAAGGGGGGGGGGGAGTGGAACTAACAGTTTACTTTGAGGGGGGGGGGGCTGGGAATACATTTATTTGAGAATGATATAGGCTTTTCAAAAATTCATAGCGTCTTGTGAACTCCATAGATATCCCTAACAAAGCTCAATCTCAATGTACTACAGTATATTACACATCCTTCCTTTCATGGTACTTTTACTTCCTACCAACCATAAGACACATATACATGTACATAACAAAGTTTAATTCTCAACATTGTAGTAGACGATGTAATGAAAACAAAACATGAGGAATCAAGTAGGAAACCATTCTCCATTCCACTTCCGGTCCATAGACTATTGCATCACAAGCGTCGGTATATTTCTGCCAATAAACAAAACTTTCAGTTTATACACACTTGCTTGCTGGGTGTAAATAATGAAATTTTCATTTAAGATTTAAGCAATAATTTGTTCTTTGTTGCACGAATGAAGTCGATTTGAAACCATTGCATGATTAACTGTAATAT